TCCTCTCTCTCTCTCTCCACACCCAGGCCAACAACCAGTCGCGCCCGAGAAAGCCTCGACAACACCAACAGCAGCGTCGACGCACTCCTCGACCGACTCTGAGGCGTCCCCCCCCCCTTTCCCAGACGTCCACGCACGAGGTATAGCTCTCCTCCTCCTCAGCTGCAGATCTAATCTCGAGACGAACGTCTCGCGCGTCCCGTCCAGGCCGGGCGCTCTCGACATGGGTATGTGTTTATCCTCTGCCGTGCCGTGCGGTCTGTCCTCCTCCCCTGTTGGGTTATGAGGGGAGGAATAGGGCTGAGGGCTATGAGCTTAAGCTTAAGCCCAGAGAGAGAGAGATCACACACACACACACACATATATATATATATACCTACCTGCGTGAGTAACAGACCAGGAATGGATAAGATAGAGGAGGGGGGGCAGTAGGCAGGTGTAATTTCTGGGACGTTTTGCACCCTCGGTAAGGTCAACGTTGTAGGCATCTCGTGGAGGATACGGTGAGGCTTGCTCCCCCTTGAGGCTAGGATCAAGGTCAAGCGAGGCCTGGACGATCCATGAATTAATCGGGTTTGTGTTGTTGAGAGGACGGGACTTGTAGCGAGGACACGAACACGGACACGAACACAAGTAAAAGGTCATGTCATAAATGATAAAACACTGTCTGTGCATTAACATTAATACGAAAGAGGAAAAGGCTTTCATCCTCGCTCACCATCAATCCAACGAGGAATAATACGCGTCGCTCAATCGAGCAGAGTACGTACGCCACGACGAACAGAATTTTAATCCGCCAAAAAGCCTCTCTGCGCGTTCCTGGCCCCCTCAGATGTAAAAGCATCCACGGCGACACCCACAAGCACACACTCCACCCCTCCCTTCTCAGTTCGCGAGTTCTGCGCCCGCAGGCGCCACTGCCCCCGCTTCACCACCCAGACCGGAGTCTCCTCATTCAGCCCAATCGTGGATCCATCCATCCTCCTGCGCTTCCGTATCTGTTCGGCATGCCCATCAAGGAGCTCGGGCGCCGAGCTCGCGCCGCTAATACTGCTCCCCCTTTCACGGTCCGAGAGCGAGCTATGATTATGCCAGCCTCGACCGTCTAGACGAACCGATGCTTCGTGACCGAGTTCGCACCGCACCCAATCTTCGGTGCGGGCCGGACTGGTAGGCTGGGAGCTGGTACCATCGCCTTTCTTCATCAACAGGCCCAGACGCAGAGTGCTCGGTAGATTGAGCTTCGTCGCAATGACTTCGAAGAGTCTTGAGATGCGTGCCTTGCCATCGCCGATGAATTCACACCGCATTGAGGATAGGTGTAGCCTTGTGCACTCGTCTCCGATCTCAAGCACGAGCTCATAGGCCTTGTCGTCTACGAACGGGCGGGCGTAATTCACATATCCGACAAAGCCCTGCGGTGAATGTGAAGGGGCGCTGTTTGAGTCCTTTGGCGGGACTGAAGAGGGATCTACAGCGATAGAGATGCCCGATTGGCGAATATCTTCTAGACGAAGGGCAATTTCGTGGCGATTCCGGTAGATGTTGAAGGATATGGAGTGACGGAGCAGTTTCTGCTCTAGACCTTTTAGATGAAAGTACCTGCAGTCGCGTAGAAGCTCGGCGCGGTGGTCTTCATCTTTGATATGAAGCGGATAGCCACGCAAGAGGTGGAGTAGTTGAGCGAAAGTTTCGGCGCTCCTGTTCGGTACTGACGGCGGCATGATAGAGGGAGGCCGTAGAAGGCCTTCTCTATCGAGGCCAGGGAAGACCGCGGTGGGCGTACTGAAGAAGACAGCGAACCCCAAGGAAAAGTAATTGGGCGAATTTCCCGGATCGGAAAAGAGCTCGCGCGGGATCTGGAAGTCTACGCCACCAATGGATATGAAGATGTTCTCCTCGTACAGCTGAGATATCAACCGTGGTACTGATCACGTTAGCTTTCGTTTCATTCTAACGGTGTTGCAAACATACAGCTGTAGAACTGTGCATCGGCAAAGAGCTTCACAAAGTGGCTGCTATCCCGCGGAGTGACATGATAGCCCTGCAGATGGAGTGCGATATCCCGGAAGGTTACCGGATCGCGGTCGATATATAATGTTCGAATCGGAGCTGAGTCGGCTCCTTGAGATTCGGCAAGTTGGCACTGGAAGAATTGGGAAAAGTATGAGGGTGCTCTAGGTTTCTCAGTCTTCGCTAATCCGAAATGCCCGTTCGATATACTCGAGCCAGGAGACACCTACCATCGGAGCTGATGCTTGCACCACTCAACCCAAACAGCTCTGTCCCGATCTGAATGGGAAACACCTTTTCGTGAGGCAGGGTCTTGGGGATATCTGTGTTCAATTTTCGAGCGGTGGCCACAGCCGGAGCCCTCAAAATGCCCGGTGGGTGTCCCGAAGCCATCGCGGCACTGCCTCTACCTCCCTCGACCAGAATTCCCTGGCCACCTCAGTTCTTCTCCCGCGTATCACACCTTTCTTGTTCCCCCTAGGAAGCCAGGAGATCTAAGGACTTGGGTGTGAGGTTGTTGCTCCGTGTCCCACGTGACTAACCATACCTTCGCCGGCTTCTTCGGAGCTGAAACTTTGGCTGACGGAATGGCGACTTGTTTCTGATCAGGCACAGATAGCCCGCTTCACGCGAAGGAAATTTGACTATCGCAGCTGATCACGGCGTCAGGATAAGGAGACCAATGCAAAGACGGGGAATGAAGTATTGCGCGTCTTGAGCTCTTGAGATCCGCGCTAACCAGCGCTAGCCAGGTGGAATATCACGTGCTGTTTTCTTTTCCACCGAATGCGATTTTGGAGCTGGAACCTCACGAAGTAGTGCATCTGTATTTATAAGATAATTGTGGCTACTCGTAGATGATTGATTGCGCACAATATGTTGGGCATCATTGATGTGTACACGTGATTAGCCGACGCCCCCCTGAATCTTTCGACGGGGCGGAACCAAGTCCCATGTAAGAAACTCCCAATGTCTCTCCGTTGCTATCTATGACTAGAGATTCGCCGCTGTAGGGGGGCAACATGGTGGCGTTCATCCCTCTGGGTGAAGTGAAAATAAATTCCTCCTCATACCACGAATATGCGCAACACCCTAAGTAAATATCATAAAAAAGGGGTCAGGTAGGAAGATAGGTACACTACTAGTAAGTTGCCTTGATTGCTCGCGTGCAATGTCAACAACAAACAGTCTAGAATTCTCCCGACTCCCTACTTCCCTCTCTTTCTTACCAACCTGCCCGTCCGCTACTTCGTCACCAGAGCCTCGGAATAGTCGCGTACGCATGTAGGTAGGTACGGCTCGATTCCATCACCGGCCCAACGCTTTTCTGTCACGACAAGGTTCCTCCCGATCTTTCCAACAACTCTTGTAATTTCTTCATACCTCGGTCTCGATGCCGCCCTGTTTGTCTTGATGATGCTCAAACACCCCCATAACCTTACTCTTTCCATGTCTGGCCGTATCCAGTGCCCAACCCCCCGTGCGTGCGACCTTCCATTGCATAATCCCCCGGTGCCTCCTATGCAACTCTCGATGATGCGCCTTATAATCCTTCACCTGACCCCTCGCACCCCTTTCTCCATCGTCCTCGTCGTTCTCGCCTAGTAAGCTAAAAGCTCTCGCCTTGACTCTACTCACAATGCCGCTTCCGCCATGGGACTCCTCCCCCGAGCTGTCTTGGTTGGTGTGCGGTTTGAGCTTCTTGGTGGTGCTTCTGGCCTCATCGTCTGTATTAGTAGCGGAAGAGTCACTGTCGTTGTCGGAGCTGAATTCACTGTTGCTGTCTTGGATCTCGTCGTTGACGGTATCGAGGACTTCCATAACGTTGCGCATATCCCCATTGTTCCCGTTCTGTGCATGGCGCTTGTGATACCCCGACAACCCACGCCAGAACTTCAATGTGACTTCAATTTCCCCGAGAGATTGCTCGCCGTCAAAGCCGTTGTAGTCTGCGCAAGTGGTGGCTTTCTTGAACTTCTCTTTGCCCCCCTTCCATACTTTCAGTCTCACAGTCTTCTCTTCCTCGTCTGGAATTTGATATAGCCAGAAAATGGCGAAGGCGGCGGTAGAGTCGGTGCCCACACGGGACTTGCGGAATTCCATGACGAGGGCTGAGGAGTATCTTTTGGTGAATGCAATAAAGTCCGAAGTTTTATCTCCTTTGTAGCGCCATTGACCGTCTGTGGATATCATCTTTACTTTGGCGATGCTCGAACGAAGCTTAATTCGATGGGAGCTGATGTCGTGTGGTAAGTTCACGGGCTTGATGGGAGACTTGATCTCCAATGTCCCCACGTCCCAGCCAAGAAGTTCTTTGGGCAGTTGCATCTCGACACTTCTGAACACAGCTGATATCCTGGCTCGACCAAAGCCCACGCCGCCGACAAGAGGATACGTATCCATTACTTGGCTCCGCTTATCCAACAGCTTGTCAAGTGGGAGATAAACTATTCCCAGAAGAGCATCGTTCTCCCGTTCCCTGCTATCCAGAACACTGATCATAACCTCTGCGGTCCTCCAATCACGGATAAACCGCTCAGTTCCAGCATTAAAGAAAGGCTTGGCATTCTTCGGCTTCGTCCGGGTCATGTAGATCTTCCGGTGGTTCAAGATAATCGTACAATAGCTGCTTGGCAAATCATCAGACTCCTCGTCTTCAATTTCCTTGTCATCGGTGCCGTCCTTGTTCTGCTTCTGCAGGGATTCGACCTCGAGACCAGTGATGTTGTGTATTTGAATCGACAGAATTCCACTAGGGTGATATGAATCTGGACGAGCTGCACATATCATTGCATCCTCCCGCTCTTTGTAGTCCTGCACCTTTTGTTGGCTGATCTCCTTGGACTCATCATGAGCGGTGGCTTCACGAAGCTTTCGCTCAGCCATGTCAGACACATGCTTCTTGAGTTCCTCCTTGGTTTTCGTATTCTTGTCGACAGTCTGATTGGAAAGTTGTTCGTCCGAGATTCCAGTCTTGGAGAAGTATCCAACAGACCACGAGAGCATGCCCGGCATATTCTCATCGGCATCCTGCCCTTTGAAACGATCCTCGCGCGCACACATTTGGTTCTTCGTCTTAGGAGAGTGCATCAGCTCCTTCAAATCCACTTCCACCCTTCCAAGGTCATCATCAGCAGTAAAGCGATCACTGTCCCAGAGCTGAAGGCGAAGCTTTTCCTCGGCATCTATCTCTTGCGACGATACCAGGATGTATGCCCACTCATGCCACCTCGGCATTTGGTCTTTCTCGATTATTCTTGTCGAAGCCATAGTTTTCCCAAATTTACCCCAAGAGCAAGTTACGTACGAGTCACTGGATCCTTTCAAGGGCCCAATACCGCCATCACCTTCTTTAAAGCCCTTGGCTTCCTTGATGAAGATAGCGATGACACCGCGTGTAGTGGTATCTTTCTTGAAGTCGTCACCAACAAGTATGTCCTTGAGGTCCAGGGTCAAAGATCTCGGAGCAACATACTCTGCCAGAGCTGCATCGATCGACGATTGGACGAAAGAAGAAATTAGGGGAACGTTCATCAGATTCGGCAAGTGCTTGGAAAGTGGGACGCAAGACAAGTCGGCTCGGGGCTGCCCGAGGAATGTCATTGTACAAAGACTGAAAAATGGTGGATCTGGTGTCAACTGGAGGCGGAGTCGAACGGCTCCTATGATTCCTCTCAGCTCCACCCAGACAGGGACAAAAATGCCCCCAGACAAATAGAACTTCAGATACAGATGAGCATTCTGAACCTTTGACCTCAAGGACTTGCCAGATGAACGTGCCCTGTATGCAAATGCAAGTTCCATGTTGACAAAGTCCCCTTGCTCAGCCTCCATCCCTTCGCGTATGGTTTTTTGCTCCTGTTGTTTATGCGTATTTTCTTGGTCTGTTAACTCTTTATCGTTAGGTTCAGCCTCATACTCGGAGTTATCTTCTTTAACCTCCCCAGAAGCCGTTCGATCATTCGTTTTCTCTCCAACACTCTTCAAATTGCCGTCCCCATCAACAGACTGACTAGCAGCACCTGTTGGAAGCCAACGTATTCCAAGAATACGAATTGCTTCGCTGCCTTGCCCGATATCATCAATACTGACCATACGAATGACTTTGGGCAGCGACGCCTGCATTACGTCCTCCAGCATATCCACAACCGAGGTAAGAAGATCAGGATTGATGAGAGGCCAAACTCCAGCTAACAGACTATTCAACCACGCTACTGATTCCGGGAGTTCCCCCTTGGTATTGGTAAGTCTGAGCTCGTCTGATCTTGCAGCATCCCAGACTTCGTCTTCCCATATCTCTTTCACTTTGCTTCCTAGCCAGCTTCGCATGCCAAAAATAGTGGCAACGGCAGCTCCCAGTGCAGCCGTAATCGAGACTGCGAGTGGAAGAAAGACTCGCCGTGGCTTCGATTCTTGGCGCTCAGTCCAGCGGAATGTTGAAGAGCTATCCGGAGAGTTGTGCGGAGACTCAGATGTCAGAAAAAGGACGGTTAACACAACAGACGATGCCAGAAGTACGATTATACCGAGGCCTATCGTGAAGGCAAACTGGTACGTTCTTACCAGCTCCGCATTTGTATCAGTAAATGATGGCGGTGGGAACACCCTCTGCATCCCATCGAAGCTTTCTTGCAACTCGTCCGTTTCCAGACTCAGTTGACTCGACGATTTTGAGGCGCCACTCAGCCCGGTAGCCGTCTTCTTCTGTGTCCCTGGGGCAGGGTAATTCTCAGGAGTACGTCTCAGATCTTTATCTGTTGAATCTCGAATGATCAGAGGCAAATGGGTGATCGGATCCGTCACTTCTCTTCCGCCATCATCTCGTTTTCTGTGCTTCATATCCTTCCTCTTCTGCTTCGGGTCCGTACGCCCATGGGCTCTCTCGGTCGCTGAAAGACTTTTATCGCTCCCATGGCTGTGCCTAGAGGTATTCATCTCACCATCTTTCTCGCTCGGCTGGCCTCTTGTGGGCACAAGAGGAATATCTGCCCCCTGGCTGCTGTGGGACCCTTCTACTCCCTGCATACACCGATTGCCGGTCGGATATGGATCCCCAGCAGGGCCCTTCTTGTCCTCATCATTCAAAATCGCCTTGACGGAGTTGAAAGCCCGTTTGGCCCTTGAATCGTCTTCCTCTGTGTGCTGGGCTTCTTTCACGGTGCTCTGCTGCTGCTCGAGCTCATGCCGGTGCTCGCGGTATCGCTGGATGGTGGGGATAGGTCGGTCGTGGGAGTAGGGAGCTCTGTAGTCTCTGCGAGCTGCGTCGTCGTCAAAGTCTGATGGAGAAGACATTGGGTCGTGGTCGTATAGGGCAGATGAGGGTGTCTAGATGCTAAGTCATGGAAGGCGGGTTGAAATAAGAGGGAAAAATGATACAGGTTCAATCGAAAGACTTTGTGATAGATATAGATATGAAACATGTATAATAGAAAGAGAAAATCACTTGCCTGCCGTTCCAATTTATTCATCGTGCCTGCAGCTCCGTACATCTCGACCCAGACAGAGTCTGCATGGGCAACGGCAGCTGCAGAAAACTTGGAAGACCGCGACCGACGTCAGAGACCAGGATGAGTGAGAGCTTCGAGGGGTTCGGTATCTTGGCTACCACGTGACCTGTGCCTAACAAGAAGTTATAGAAATGTGGAAATTTGGAAGGGAAAGAACTTCTGCACGTATCGCATATCTAACGAGCTCGCTGCTCGGTAGTCTCACAGCATGAACCGAGCTCGCACCAAACAGACGAGGGCGCACCGGAAGCGAGCAATTTCATCAAGTAACGCTCCTCGATCAAAAGATTATTCATAAGAGGAGGGAAACTGCTCAGCGATGTATGGCGACAGAGACAAAAGCAGCCCCTGTGCCTCTTGTCCAGCGGGGTCTGAGTACATTCAAGTCAAGTCCTGTTTACAGCCTTATTTACAATCTAGCACGTAAGCTCGAGCCAAAGTCGAAAGCTGCATTCGATCCATACCAAAAGCAGTTTCCACCGAAGTCCTTTTCGACTCCAGCGAAAGCTCGGTACAATTTACCAACCGAAGACGATGGTTCTCACTCTTGGCCATTCTCAGAGACTTGGCCACCAAGATTCATCGTCGACTACACCTACCTCTTGTCCTTACAGCGATCCTGGCAATCGTGGTTCCGATCTCTCTTATACAGCAATACGCTTATCCCGCAAGCCAAAATGTTGGAAATCGGCCAGGCTACGATTGTATGCACTCGGGGGACTTCAACTTGCGAGGTATAACTGCTACACGGACAATGTATTACAAATGTCTGAATCACAACTGACAACCATCAGGAACTGGTGAACTTCGGTCACCTATGAAGGGGAGAAGGGGGATCCGAGGCTCGGGCTGTGCGAAACTGCTGCTGCTGCTGCTGCTGGTCAGAGTCAGAGTCAGCATCGTCAGATGGAATCAGTCGGACGTCTGAAGTTGGACTGGGAGAGGGAGTATGGTTGAAGATTCTCGGCTCGGTTCGGGCATTGTGTAAGTGCATATTCCCGGCAAGATGAACAGGACGCATAGTATATATGTATTTCCGAATGATAGATCGTCGTTGCTTAGCCAATGAAAAGATTGGACCCCTCCGCCTTGTTACCTACCTATATATGGTCTGGATATGCTGCGACGTGATGGTAGACTCTGCTGCTGGGATGGACGTACAATAGATACCAAACCATGTTTACCACCACGACGACGATCAAAGTTTTTATCTTCTTCCGTAATGGATAGCGCACTCAATTTTGGGGTGGGGGGAACGGTGGAAATAGAGAAAGCCGGTTCCGAGAAAACTCAAGATGGGGTTTCTGTTATATACATGAACTGGTGAACACCTAGATGCTTGCGCTATATGGAGCCAATGCTAAAATAACAAGAGCGCACGTGATATTTCTCTCACTAGGGTCGCCTCGAATCTTTCGTTTTCGACCTACTTCGATACGATGCCAAAGAAATCCACGTTCCGTCCTCCAGACGCCTCTCTTAAAAGCATCTTTAAAACCAAATTCAAATTCCAAAGCCTCGTGGATTTAATGCCGTGGTGTCATGCACACTAGGCGTCGTATCTGTGGTCGGGCATATGGTATTTCCGATCTCCGACTCATGAAACGTCCGGGTTTTTCTTGTTCTTGCCAGACCCTCGGATGTCCCTGACTGGATCGGATTGAATTGGAGCAAGGAAAAGTTGAAGCTGAAGCAGATGAATGACATTAGTCTGTATCGATGTCGGGCGGCTGCGGAAAATCTGCAGTTCTTGGTTGGAAACCTGCCGGATCCGGGACAAGAGCTGTTTATTCAGCTGGATAGGTCGAAATCATTGCAGGAGCTGGAGACTTTTCCGAAGCTGCCGGTGGAACTGAGACTTATGATCGTAAGTGGCCTTTCTCTGTCTCTTACCTATCCTTATATACATATATATATATGCCATCTGGGCGAGGCTGACCATCTAAACAGTGGCGCCTCTCCTTCCCGCCTTCGCGACTTGTCAGGCTTCATCCTACGTTTAACTCGTCACAAGACCCCCTCCCGGTAGCCCTACGAGTCAACCAAGAATCACGAAGAGAGGGACTTAGACACTACTACATGGTTCAACGCCCTCCTGATGCTAGATTTTCCAAATATGCCTATTTCTACCCTCGCCAAGTCTGCATCAACCCCAAGATCGATTCCGTTTACATCTCGTTTCTGCATCTCGTCGTCTATCCTGAAGAAGCGAGTGACTTCATCAGGGCTCTCGTCTGCAGCAATATAGCATGCTTTAGACTATTGCAGGATCTTGAACTCCGGGATGTTTATTTGATCCTAAGCAATCCGGTGAGCCTGAAGTCAGCTACCGCAATGGTCGAGATGAACGATAAGCGGACAGGCACGCTGCTTCTCTTTCCGGGTCTGAAGCGGATCTGCTTCACTTCAGGAGAATCTTTTATAGCTGTATCCGACGCAGTCCAGACGATGGTCGTTCCGCGTCTCGAACGTTATCGATGGATGTTCTCTGATCGGAAAATACCGGCTTTTCTTGCGCGTCGGTGGGTACCACTTCGGCCTGGTAGCTTCTAGGCTAAGGCTTGTGGCCGAGGCCCGTGGTGTACTCAATGAAGGCAGAGCGGGGTAGGTGAATTGTCATTAGGAGATACTTCAGAGAGAATCCGTGATGGTTGGGGTGTTCAAATGTAAACAACGGGAAAGAGTGCGAAGTCATTGTGTAATTTAGACGTTATTTGCAGCATCATTTAGGGGACCAGGAGTTCTGTGCATCGCCCGGTCGGTGATAGACGTCATTAGAGATCATTCACACGATGCGGAAACCGAACTTATAAGCTAATGAATGCCAGAAAACTTGGAATCCACGGTTTTCAAAATCTCGTAATTTAACTTCAAACAATCGCCTCTCAGGTTGGACGAATGAATGTAAGTAATATTTGCGAGCACCTGTAATTGATCAAGCATCTTTCGACAAACCTAATCACCAATTGACTCTCAAGCTCAATTTTTGCGACTGAACTGAGAAACTCTGGTTTGAGAAGATTTATGAATTACTAGCACAGAGTAAACGTCTTCATTACTGACTTGATAGGTAATGGTGCAATCATTGAAGCTACCTTAGTTCACTCAACATGTCGTAGTAGCCTCTCTTCACCTCCGCACTAGCTCATCCATCTACCTATCCATCCATCCATCCATCCATCCAGCTCCGAACTTCAACCGAAATCCTCTCCTCATAAAGGCCAGTAGCAGCGACACGTCAAAACTCCATCCCTTCCCCTTCCTTTCCTTTCTTCCTGACTAGGTAGAACCACGATAAGCAACTGTCATAATGTTCGGCCTAGGTTATTACCAATCACTGATTTAGCTCTCAAGCTTACATTTTTCGAGAAGACCGAGGAAGTCTGGTTTGAGAGGGCTTGTGAACTGGTGGTAAAGGCTGGGAAATGTGTCTACGATGGATGGACTTGACTTGAGAGTGGGATGATGATTCGTTTCGTGTAAGGTACCGGTAGTCGATTAGCTGATGTGTCAAAATAGATATCTTTTGTTTACGTCGGCGCTAGATTAGTTAGCTAGCTCCGAATTTTAATGGAGAAACTCTTCTTACAAAGGCAGCGGCGGCGCCGAAAACTTCTTTCCTTTTTCGTTTCTTTTCCTCTAAACTACAATCACAATATCTATCTTTATGACCAATTAACGCTTAAGCCCTCACTTTTGGGAATGAAGTGAGAAATTCTGGTTTAAGAAAACGTAGGTATGAACATGTTTACAATGGACTTGACAGGTTGACTATGGTAATGATCGATTTAGGATAGGTAGCAATTCACCCGATGCGTCATAATAGCTTTTGTTTATGTCGGCGCTAGATTAGCTAGCGCTGAATTTTAACCGATAAATTCTTTTTATAAAGGCAGCGACGGGTCAAACTCCTTCCTCTTCCTTTCTTCCAAACTACAATCATAATATTCAGCCGCACGCCCTTCTACTCACAACCTATTCTCCGATGTTCTCCTTTGCCTGATCTCCACGCCACAAAACGTGCAGACCGACGGCCCTTTCAAGGCCTCCTTGATCTTCTCGTCTGCACACTAATTCGCATACAAGTTTCTTCAAACTCGATCTGCCGACTTATATCAGAGGTGAGATTAAGATGAAGCCCGTGATGATTATCGGGTTTACTGATCTGTAAGTAGAGTCGCAGACATGGATCTGCCCACGACCTTCGAACCCCGAGAAATGTCCAGATCTATTGAATTACGTTTGAAAGAGTCGCTCCCCGCCCCTACCGACCAGCCAAAGCTTTGCGACGATACCTCGGCCAAGGGAGCAATATCAACGAGTGAACTCGTCCATTTGCCCTCCGACGCAGACGCCGACGCCGACTCAGCGAGTGCTACCTCTGCTACCTCCGCCAACTCTTCCCTCTCCTTGAACAACGCCTCTACTGATTCAACAATGTCACCGTCCGTTGGCCACGAGTTCACTCTATTCCCCAAATTACCCTGCGAACTCCGCGCCAAGATCTGGAGATTGGGAATCCGGGTCGGTCACTTCAGCATTCAGCATGCATCATACAAAACGACCGGTGAGTCATGGGCCCTCTGGAAGAGCGAAGAGACCGATAGCCTGCCGATCACCCTCTGCATCAATCGTGAGAGCCGGGCGGAAACGCTGCGCAAGTGCTTCCTGCTCCCCCGTACGGGCGCGCGGCCCATCTACGCGAACCCGGCCACCGACGTTTGCTGGCTCGAGTTCGTCACGTTGATCTACAGTCAGCGCGAGCTCTCCGACTGGCTGTTGAGCCTCCACGTCCTGGGGCCCTTGAATTTCCTGTCGGCCATCACCCGGCTGGAGGTCCGCGACTTCTTCTTCGCCCCCTTCTTCAAGAAGATGGTTGCCGAGAACTACATCAAGTTGCGGGATCGCCGCGCCCTCTACTTTGCCGCTTTCCTGCACTTCCCGAGCCTGAAGCAGATCTGCTTCACGAGCTGCAACAGTGCGGATTGGGCGAGTGTTGCCGACAATGCGGCGATGGAGTGGGCGCGTGCCTGGATCGGCGCGCTGCTGGAGGAGAACAAGGACTGTTTCGAGGGGGGAAAGGTGCCGCAGCTGGTCTTCCGAGAGTATAAGACGGTCGAGGATATTATGTTGGAGGACTGATAGATCATATCCGTGGTCTTTTCTCTCTCCCTAACAGCTGCTCCTGGCTCATGATTTTTCAAAAGACGCAGAGGTCTGAAGGTCATTTGGGGGGGAAGGGTGGGGAGGGGGGTTCCACAGTCCTCCCTCCTCCGCCCCTTTTTCTCTTTTTCATCTCGCAGCTTGCTGGCCCTCCTCTATCTTCTCTTTGAGTCGGTCAACGGGTCTGCTCGATCACTTCAGTCACCTTTACCGTTTTATTTTTTGCGTTTTGCATTTCGCATTCAATGGATTTTTTTCTCTGATAAGACTCTTTATCTTTTAACTCAGAAGAAGAAGAGGAAGTAAAAGTTGATCGTTTAAAAGCTCTGGCTCTTAAATCTTGACTTTTTTGTCTTGCTGACGTTTTTTCTGTGTAAATCAATCGTGCGTGCTGAGTGGGTGAGTGAGGAGTGAGTGAATGAATAAATGGTGAAACCTTTATACTTCAGGTGTAAGAAGCTGTCTTGAATATCGCTATTAAAGTAGTCGAGGAGATCGCGGATGCTTCGAGCTACTTGCGTGCTTTCTTTATATGACGCGTACGTCAAAGCTAAGAAGTGGTCTTTGATCCACTCGGTTCTTCTACCCTACGAGAAGGCTTCGTAGTGGAACTACAGGTTATCGATTTAAATGGAGAACCAGGAGTTCTTGAACGCGGGCCAGGCACTTCTTGCCTCCGCTTCGCCGGGCCCGCAGAGGTATCGGAGCTCTAATAGAAAACCGTTGGAAAACCGTTGTGGAGCAGGCCAGGCAAGCCGTGGCGGACGAGAATGCAGTGCTTCATGGCTTCTTATCGGCTCTCCCTGTTGATAAGCAGCGCAATCGGTAGCACGCCGAAGCTTCTCCCTCCAGATGGCATCCGCGCAATCGCACCCGTCAAATACGCTACTGGCGATAAGGCAGAAGTGCAGGCGTTCATGGCGCGAAGTGACTGGCATCTCCTAAATCATCAGACGGAGCTCGACAAGCAGTTTCATGAAGAGCTCGGGGTGAGGCTCGTCGGTCTGGCTTGTACATACATGCCTCCCTAATCAGGTGGAGCAAGGAGCGGATGTTGAAAGTCAACGGGGGATTACTTCTCTCTCGCTTACTTTCTTGCTGGTTTAGACCAAAGCGCTATAGGTGCGGCTCTGAAAGAATACGCGATTAGCAAGCACGAGATTGATCTAGATCGAGACGGAAGGCCGCATAATTCGTTTGAGTGGCGAAGCTGGCTTGGTTTTTGCTGTTGACTTTTGAGTTCGTAGGAAACGTTAGCTGTGAAGCTTTGAAGTTGCGTTGGGGGGAAAAAAAAAAAAGAAGGAGGAAAAAGAAGGGAAATTGCTTTGAGGTTCGGCGAGAAGTGCTTTTTTTTTTACCATTGTCGAGTGTGGAGAATCTTTCGGGGGGCTAGAAGATGATGGGGTCGGCGTATCTGGGCACTAGCGTGACAAGTCATGTTAACAGAGACCATGCACATGAGATGAAGGTGCGCTGAATGATACATTTTTCCCTTGGTCAAAGGGTCTGAATTGTAATCGAGCCGTGCGATTCGTAGTTTGGTTATATGGTTATGCGACTGCGTTGATGGTTATGATATTTTTATCATCTGCACAATCTACTCTGCTGAAAAGATATGATCGATTCCAGACCGAGTTGAATAATCGCCTTCCTGGCCGTATGTATCTTGCTATAAACTCCACTAGAGCTGAAGAGGCTGGCATTCCTAATCAAGCTCCTCTTGTAAGCGTAAGAAGGAAGAGGTCGGCAGTCTTACGGCATTGAACCATCAAGTAAACCCTCCGCTGGATTTTAGAATCGAGACATCTTGTTACCACAGCTGGTCAGCTTATGATTTTGAATTGATGTTAAAGCCAAGCGTTTTGGATTTTGTGATTTCGATTGCGCGATTAAAATTCAAGTGATTTTGAATACCTTTTGTTATTCAACGCTTACTTAAGTAAGCCTTATTGCACAAGTCTTCGGGGACGCCTGCTACCCGCCCGACGTAAATAAATACAACAACAACAACAACAACAAGTCTTCGGGGACAGTAGGCGGCATATAGTTTCTAACCAACTTCAAAATACAAATGCAGAAAGCTTAGACGAGGATGAAGGAAAGGTTGTGATCTGCAGCTCCAACGCTTGGAGAACAGAAACACCGGAAGCAGAAAGAGGTGATACGATGAAATGAAAGCCAGGGGGGCCAGTTCCAAGACCTTACTCTTCCTCTCCTTTGAACGCGATCGGGCTATAGCTAGATATGTCAGTCAATTCTTGTATCGGACTGAGGAGTTGGACTCACTCTCGTATTAGTTCGTGCATCATATCCCTCGCGGTCACAACGCCTAGCGGTTCCCCATACATAGATCCCCTTTCGGTGACCAAGACCATCTGGACGGTTCTATCTCGGAAGAGCTTGAGTAGATGTTGACAAGAGATATCCGGAGGCACGACATGCAACTTGTCTAACGACAGCTGGCCAACGGTCACAGCCTCCTCAAAGTCCAGAGCGACGAGTGACTTGACAGGCAGGATCCCTACGAAGGCTGTAGGGTGGTCATGTGAATGGATCGGTACGCCACTGTACCCCGACGTCAGGAGATTGTAGCGCGTCGTGTCATCGAGGAGTGAGTTGAGACCAAGAGCAAAAAGCTTCGGAACGGGAATCATCATCGATGATATGGGCCGGGCGTCGAGATCGAGGATCGTGGAGAGGAGAGCAACCTCCTCCCTACTCAGCCTCTCACTACTTGCAGCTAAGCCCATGCGCTCGTGAAGACCGAGCAGGGTTTTCAGGCCGGCTCTGTTGAAGACGAGGCCGTGGTTCAGACCCAGCAAGCGATCGAGGAGTTTGGCCACGGGGTACGCGATGGGAAACAACCCGTACATCACCCACAGGACGTATCTACGCCAACGCCCCCCCAGTCAGAAAACGTTTCCTCGGGTTGAAAGTCGGCTCGGCTCGTAACAGACCTTGAGGACCAGGCGCCGATAGCCAATCCATGTTTCGCACAAACGCTCTGCGGGATGATCTCCCCAAATATCACGATGAGTATCGTCGAAGCTGCCACCGCGAAGAGACCGCCCTTGACATCTTGGTCCAGGACGATTGGCAGGGTCTCATTGGTGAGGACGTTTCCCAACAGCAGAGATACCAGGACCCAATGCCGCCCGCGTTGAAGCACTTTGAGCACCCTGGTAGCGTTCTGTCTCTCCTTTAGCGTGCCAGACCCAGCGATCACTTGGAGAAACACTTGATCCTGGCCCATGAATCTACATCATACAGTAAGTCGGAGCTTCGAGCAGCCTTGCGCTGGAAAGCCGGTGAGAGAGAGAGATTGTCGACCAAGCACGTACGCCAAAGTCAAACCAGCGAAGGTTCCGCCAAGGATCAACAAGACGATCGAAAGAGCCCCATTCAAGCAGTGAAGTATAAATCGAGCCGTGGCATCTCTTATTTCTAGACGCCCTGCAACAATTTGTTCCGTAGCGTCTCCAACAAGGATCCTGTCGTCGCCATTAGCGTATTGTAGGTATCGGATTTCACAACTCACTTCATTTCTCTGGATGCGAACAATGTCTCTCTCATGAGCGAAATCGAGGGCATCGTATCAAGAGGGAGGAGAAAAGCACACGGCCGACATACGTTCAGCTCGTGGGCCACCACGATATTCAATGAAACGATACACGACGTTCAAGTCGCACAGATACCTATGGGTGTCCATGGCCGTGCGACTGACCGCGCTGGGACTGGGAGATGATGGGGTTCACGATGCTAAAAGAAATATCCCGCACCGGACAGCTGGTGACACGCGTGGTCCTGGGTGTTTACCAGTCTCTAGCGAGAGGTCCAGATGCGAGAAATATAAGTGCGATATCACCTGGAGTGAGGACATGAAGTGGGAAGATAAGTTTCTTGTTCTTACTACAAATGGGCTATAGAAAGCGCTGCATCGTGAGACTTTCGCATGGGTTACGACTCGAGAGTCGAAGCTATTCGCAGCTTATTGAATCAATCCCAAGCTATTCTTTGGAGTCGATTACCCTGTTCTCACCAGGGTTCAATCTGTCATGCTGTCTCGAGTTTATCTATTTGTTTACTTGATTTCATGCAACACTCGTCAGACTATCCACTGTCAAATACTCTATACATAGGAACTCTACGGAGACGGGTGGGTGGATGCTTCAATTGTCGCTTATCCGGCTTCAGAGGCAGTGCAAAGGAGATCACCGTCTTATCTATACGGTGCCAAAAGACTCATAAAGTAAGTTCAAAAAATCCCTCATGCATGTCCTTGCATCTCACGACTTGGCGACGCTCTTCACATAATCGCGCACACCACAAAGTGGTATGAGGCATTTCACGGTCAAAATGAAGAGTATTTCGGTTCCGGGTCCGATGTTGTTTATTTCAGCGGGAAGTGGCGCTAGCGGGTAATTTTGTTGAGGCGCTCTCCGCCACATTCGATTGTTAGACCTTTGAAGGGGTTGCTGATCGCATAATTGGGAGCGGTGAAAACAGCCGAGACATTTATACGACGCGAGATGGTGGGAGAAAGGGATGTTTGATCAGATTTATTATCACCCCGAAGTCTCGTCCATCGCTTGCCAGAAATTATCTGATTTCACGACTTTCAAGAGAGGGAAGAGAGAGATATTTTGCGCAGAGCGATATGCACACTTGCGAAATCCTGCCAAGTGGAAGACATAGACATCATATTGAACACTTTCAGCCGAGTTCTGGGCTATTGGACAGGTTCCGATCGATAATCACTTCAAGCCCGGGAGTAAGTGGAGGAGTAGCACTTTCAGATGTTCGTACATACGCCATGGCTATGGTCATCATCCTCTCCTCTAATTTGGCTAATTGACTCTTCTAGCAAGACTACAACAACCTCCCTTTTCAGCCAGAAAAACGACTGCCGAAGTCTCGCAAAAAGCAAGCTACCAAGCAACTTGACACTTCTAGCTGTGATGTCAAGGCTCGAAAGCTGTCTAGCAGCAGCAGCAAGTCATCATGTTACACAGTAAAGACCCGCCGACCACGTTCACCCGATGAGAAACCTCCGGCCCGAAGACACTCAACCACCACCACAGACTCAGTCCTCCTATCCATGCGCCACCCGAACATCCTCTACGCCCTCGACCTCCGATCAGGCAGCAGCAGCGACCTCCAACCGGCACCCACCTACACGGGCGTCACCCTCGCGACCCTGATCCAGCGCGCCGGCCGGGGCCTCAGCTCCGCCGAAGCCGACTGCTACTTCGCGCAGCTGATCGCAGGCCTAACCTACCTGCACGCCCTCTCCATCAGCCACCGCGACCTCAACCCGTCCAACCTCCTCCTCACCACGACCGGCACGCTCAAGATTGCCAACTTCACCGCCTCTGAGTACCTGCGACCCCCGTCCTCCTCCTCCTCCTCCTCAAGCGGCGGCCGGAGCCGCAAGCGCTGCTGCGGCACGGCGCCGTACCTCGCGCCGGAAGTCCTCCTCATCCACGACGACCAGCGCGACTTCGACGCCCGCGCCGTCGACATGTGGGCCGTGGGCGTCGTCTACCTGGAGCTGCGCACGGGGACGCTAGCGTGGGCGCTGGCGGCCGAGGGCGCGGACGAGGGCTACGACCAGTACCTCTCGGAGAGGATATCCCTCTGGGGGTTCCGGCCGATTGAGAACCTGAAGAATGTGAGTCGTCGAATCTGATCATCCCTATCTGTCTGGGCCAACCCGCCCCAAGTTCTCTTCTCGTGGACATCACGGAGGAGCTCTCGGATCTGACGTTGACGGGCCCCCTTTTTTCAGAGACACTGTCGGAGAGTCATTCAGACGTTGCTGGATCCCGATCCGGGCGAGAGGATGGCGGCGTCGCAGGTGCGGAGATCGCCGTGGTGCGCGGGTATCGAATTGTGCGAGGCGGCGCTGGGTGGGTAGTTACGGGAAAGATTATTAAAGTCGGCTGACTGTGACTGCTTGGGCCTGGTTGGGCCTGAGGTTAGATTATAACGATTCTACGATTGTACATCTGTTTTTGCTATTGATCTGGCCTATTTTATTATATGTATATAAACCATACTGTAGATAGGGGGTAAGTAGCATATATCTCGCTTACGAAACTCGTATCGCCTAGTTCGAGCTATGCGGCGGAGATATAGGTTCACGTTTACATATATATATATATATATATATTATATGTACAGGAAGGATATAGAATAGAGCTCAGACTCAGCAAAGTGCTTTTGATTGCTTGTGTATGTATGGTGTGCGGCGTGTGGTGTGGAGTTTTGAAATGGTTGTTAGATACACGGAGTACCTACGAGGAGCCATGTCTGTTAAGATTGCTGATCTGGTTTTCTTTTCTTATTATATTGAGGATTAGGGGGAGGTGTTTAAGATCGGAAAGGATAGAGAGATCGACATGATAGAGATAGTTAAAGAAACAAATCGGAGGAAGTTAGCGAGAGAAAGTAAAGTTGACGAAGGACAGATACGACAGAGCGACGAAAGATGCGAAGTATCCACGCCGCGAGAATGTGGATTCACCATTCGTAGCTCTCGGCACCTTGAGGGGGAAACAGTTCGTCGTCGCGTCAATGTCGTATTGGTGTTCGTTTTAGAAGCCTACTTGGACCAGTTAGGCAAACCAAAGAAGAGTCAGAATGGAAGCACTACACTCATTCAATAAACAGACAACCAAATAAAGGTCTCACACAATCACAAGTAGAGCCAAGCCTGAATATGTGTAGCGGAATGAATATGCCGAAACCAAGTTATTTTATCAAAGAAATTGCGCCAATCGTGATTGCGGCGGTGTAACACCCACCAAGCCAAGCCAAACAAGTGTACGTACATAGATACATAGACATATACGTAACCTAAAATTGAATGAGAAGATGTCTTGACGACGTGTTGTTATTTACACCAAAAACTGAATGAGATCGATTTGTCTGTCTGGCTGTCTTTATATCCATCTTTCCATCTCTAAGCCAGGATGAAAGCGGCGACGGCGCCGAGGAGGGCGAGGGCGGCGCCGGCTCTCATTTGGGTTGCCCCGGATTGGGTGAGGCTGCTTGGGGTGGGGCCTGTGGGGGGGTGGGTGCGTTAGCTTTTGCTTGGAGACGGAGAGAGAGAGAGGGATAAGGAGGCAAAAGAGAGGATTCATGAGGATGGGTAGGGAATAGCTCGGTTCTGGTTTGTGGCAATGTATGCAAGGGCTGATGGTTGGGGATCTAGTTCTGCTGACGAGCACAGGAGAGCTGAGTAGGAGATGTAAAGAGGAGAAAGCCTTACCAGCAGGGACAGGGGCAGCGGTGCCAGTCGGCACGGGAACCGTCGTGTTGCTACCGGATGGACCGTAGAAGCCAGGTGAGGGGTTGGTTCCAGGAGCGTAGGGCATGTGCACAGCCGGGCTGTCGCTCGATCCAGATCCAACGGGCTTTGCGCCGCTCGATCCGGTTCCGTATCCAGATCCAGATCCAGATCCAGCTGGCTGTGTGCCGCTTGATCCAGATCCTGCTCCAGATCCAGACCCAACGGGCTGTGCGCCGCTCGATCCAGATCCAGATCCAGATCCAACAGGCTTGGTGGGGGTAGTAGCAGCAGACCCAGGCGCCGACGACGTCGAGGAGCCAGAGGAGATGCTGCTGCTGTTGCTGTTGCTGTTGCTGCAGCCCAGCTCGAAGATCGGAGTGTCGGAGAGGGTGGAGCCGACGACGCCGAACTTGGGCTGGTTGGTCGTGTCCATGTTGGCGTCCACCAGAGTGTACCAGTAGGTGTCGACGTTACCGAAGAGCTGGTTGCAGCCGACGGCCTCGTAGTACGCGCGTGCATTCTCTGGGGATGGCTGCGCGAGGTTGCCGGGGTTTCCGGCCACGGGCCAGCCAGTCTCGGTGACGATCACAGGCTTTCCACCGGAGGAGGCCTTGACGACGTCGAAGGCCTCGTTGAACAGCCGGGGTCCGTTCTCGATGTTGTTCTCCAGGGTGAACTGGAAGTAGGGGAAGGTGTTCATTCCCAAGAAGTCGCTCTCGGCGATCACCTCGGCGTTAGATCCGTTTTGCCAGACCTCCCAGGTGTCGACGTGTCCGACGGGCACGTTGAGACCGGCCGCGGCAATCGCTTGCTTGACCTGTCTGATGTAGCTGGCGACTTCCGATGGCGAGGCTCCGACTCCGTTGGGGTCGTTCTGGAGGCCGGTTCGGGAGATCCGGTACATGTCCTCAGATCCGACCGAGATGCCGTTGATGCGGCTGGTGAATTCGTCGCCATACTGGGTGATAGCAGCTTGGAGAGCTGCAATCTCGTTGTCGATGGTGGCCTGTCCGGTTGAAGCCCACAATCCAAGGAAGAGTCGGGTGTCAGTGGCAATGGCTGCGGGAATGGCAGAGATCACGTCCTTTGTGGTGCCGGACTGAACCATCGTGTAGAGTCTGGCGCTGGAGAAGGCTCCATCTGTGTCAGGGAGGGCCTTCGCAGCCGAAAATTCCGCCGTAAAAGCTGCCTCGTCCTTCGCTACTCCCTCCCATGTCACGGCACCATAGTTGAATCCGCGGTTGATAGCTGCTGCTACCGAGACGGAGGTTGCAAGGGCAAAGATCGAAGAGTGCATGATCAATATTAGGAGACTAACGAGCGTGCGATTCAAAAAAGACAAGATAACAGAAGATGCAAATGAAAATCTCGTCGATGGTGTTGACAAACGATTGTGTGAATCGGCGATTGACCAGAAACAATAACGGGAACCGCGCGCTATATAAACATCTATTCATAGTTCGCCCCAAGATTGCGTGGGTCTCCATGGCACTGGATACGAACAATTATTGGTTCTAGCCCGACCTGGCTGATGAGACATTCGGTGTTTATTTCGCTTGGCACATCCGAGCTCGATGCCGAGATGGGATATTCCGAGCTGCAACACAGCAATTGTTTCGTGAAAAGCGGGCGATTTTCAAACATGCTGATCCACAAGTTCTATTTGGACCTCACTTGTAGCACAGGACTACAAGAAGAGACAGGAATGAAATTGGAAGTCCAACGAGAGGAGGGCTCAAAGGAGCGGAAGTGGAACGGCGGCCAAGAGGGCCATCTCCTTGGCACTTGATAGGATGACGTTTGTGTGAAAAGGGGCGGATCCTCAGTGGGCCGGCGGAAATGATTGATTCGCTGTCATGTTGTTTGTTGACTTTGTTGACTTTGTTGACTTTGCTTTGGATTTGCGGTAGGGTTGATGGACTTCCCGGTCAGGAGAAGAGAGGATTTCCAATAGCCGAGGCCGGCGGTTCTGTGCGCGAACAAACGAATGGAGCGGCGCGTCAATTGCAGGAGTCGATCCATCATATCTTTTGCCTTTAACTATTGGGGCTGTGTGTGTGATACGATAGGCGGGGAAATCTTGGTGAACCGACCGCTGCCAGACGCCCGAACGCTCCCGAACGCTCGGGAGCCCTGCCTTGACCCCTTTTTGGCGTGTCTCTTTCAGAATCTACGGCAAGCCATATTAGTAATAAATGGTAGTCAGTGCCTACGTGCGAGCTCCCGATTGCCAGCAGGCAGCACGCACTGATGATTACCTCTCTTCCTATCTTTCTTACACTGGCAATAGTGGGAAGGGCCCCGAAAATTGTAAGGTCAACTCCTACTATTATCCTTTCGATAATAAATTATGTTAGCAAATATTTGTCGCCACTACATTTGCGACAGCATTTGAGAGACAGTATGCGCTTATGTAAACAAAGCTTGGGATACTAAGCGAGCACGTTTACGGAGGTGCCGGGGGTAAATTATGGCAGACCGCCGTCGGCAGAATCATCGGCAGAAAAATCAAGAGTGGCTCTCCTATCATTACATTTACTATTATAATACACCTAATATTTAGCGAACTTCCCTCTTGAACTCTTAAAAATCTCAGCAATATTCATTGTGGTCATCTTGAATTTAGCGAATTCCTTGCATAAAATTTGGACGCGATCAACGCTTTGGGAACTCTTGTCGCTGAAGGCGGTCTGTTATAATTTACCCCCGGCACCTCCGTACAGAGTACTTCCTTGTGTCCAGCAACCAGGCCGTCCAAAGCAACTTACAAGTGCGCAAAAACTTGTCTGATCTAAAGAAAAAGAATGGGCGTTCCGTGTATGTCAAACAGGATGTAATAAATCAGTTGACAGCCGGCAGGGCCCCACTCTGAAAGCAGCGAGCAGATCGGACGGATAGTGAACCCTTGAGAAGCGGGATCATGAAACGAAAACACGTGCACTCGCGGACTTAGCGCGATGATGAATTTCACGTCGGGCACCTTTCCCGTTTGCATATATCTTGCTCACTCCTTTGCCTCCTACAAAAGAGACTCTCCCAAGCCCTGCGAACCTCAAGATATGAGATACACACCTCCTATCGCAGCACTTCATTGCTCATCCGGTTCACCGATCAGAAACCCCAGATCCACGGCGCCAGTACCCCACCTGACCAACTGCGAACATGTCCACCCCAGCCTCCGTTTGCACAATCTGCCAAAATCCAGACAGTAGTAAGAGATGCAGCGCTTGCAAAGTCACTCGCTACTGTAGTCACGAATGCCAGAAGAAGGGCTGGCCTCTTCACAAGCCCGTCTGCAAGTTCCTGCAGAACCACCCGCCTGACTCGGAGCCGCAAGAAATCGAAGGCGTCAAGATACACTCACCGCATACCCGATATGAGAGCGTAAAGTTATCATCCAAGCATCCTGTGTTCGGGACGAAGGCGCTGCCGATTACGGTCAAGTTCGAACTCCCGCTTGTCATGTATAGAGAGATGGAGGGCTTACCACGAGGACAGGAGACGGATAATCAGGTATGCTGCTCAAAGCTGAGGGTTTTGTCCCTCCTACAGGTACTGTTTTACATTGATGAGTGCTTACTGAAGTCTGTTTTCTAGCACGCAACCTGGTTGAACATCGACCCACAAAGTGGTTTCGCTCCGCCTCATTGGCAAGGCGGCATTGGCACCGTCGTTGTCGCTTCCGCAGATGGCAAGCCGTTGACCGTTGCGACCCTTTCTGCCGTCACCGACTACGTTAGTCTTATCCTGGATAAGTTTGGAGATGGAGCAGGAGCCCCGACAGCCATGTACTCCCGGGCGAAGCTGGACTCGTTTGTGGCGAGACATATGGACCACTAGAGGAGTCTGAGCGAACCTCGATTTCAGTAGATGTAGACCAGAGGACTGTGGTTTTCTTTCACTTTGGCATGTTGCTTGTAGGGCTTCCTGGATGAGAGGTGTAGTGGTTATGGGGTTCTACGGGATTAGCTACTTCATTGGACACCTTGTCTTCGAGACCTTAACTTATAGGCATAACCCACCTTTCTTTCTTAGATTCGTACTCTGAAGAACTTCTCCATTTCATTTCAATTCAATTTGTTGTGGAATTTTTACCCCTGCTGTAAAATATCTAGCTGCCTTCTGAACGAGGCCAGAATAGGTTTGATGTGTTCTTCCAGTAAGCGAGAGGCGTTTACATGCATCCCAGACGACGAGAGCTCCCCGCGTTCAGGACACAGCACAAGTAATTGCTCTGTAAGTATATATATATATATATATGTAAAATCACGAAAGGAGAAGCAAAGATTATTCTCATCCGAACGCAAGTCTATAAAGCCACCTCCTGAGCAACTAGAAGCTGGGGATTATGAAATTAGTACTGCACTGTGCAACCAGGCCGTAGAGCATTTCGATCATGTCCCATTGAAGCCAGTGCATGTCTACAAAGACGCTCAGGCGAACCCAACCGAATTACGGCACCTGCAAGAGGGAACGGCCGGTGATAGTAGAGTTCTGCAGGAGGAGAGTGGTGAGCACAGTAGGGGTATTCATCCAGGACAACTACTCAATATCACCATCACCATCGCTATCATCGAAAAAGAAAAAAAATTCGATAACAGAGGTGAGCACGACAGCAAGACCATTTCTATGCACATGTCTGAAAAGCAGATATGGCTAGGCTAGTTTCAAGGTCGGTATATCTTCCATAGCCAGCCGCGAAGCGTGGAAACCGAGGTTCAATCTGTAGGTCCGTCCGTCTGTCTGCTCGCATCACCCGCTTTCCCATCGTGAGATCGGTTGGCTCGGCTTTTAGATCCCTCTAGAGAGCTGACCTGGTTTCATTCTCTGGCAAATGAAGGTTTTGGGTTCTTCGCAGTTACCAAGCATATCGTGCATGAGTAGTTAGTTCATTTATACAGGAGCTGAGGTTCATTTCCTTGATTGTTTCGGCAGGTACTCGGGAGTCTTTGAGTGAGTGCTTGGCTGGGTGGCATTCAATGGCAAGTCAGCTGAGTATGAGCTGGAGGAAAGATTTGAGGAGGTTACATGATTCAACGCAACGCAACGGATGAACTTGGTCCGGCTGCGGGGGTGAATTCGCGCTCCGCCAGTAGAAACTCAAAAGGTGATACCCCATACACCTAAGTAGATAAGAATATGAAAAATTACCCAACGGCTTCAACGACGACATTGGTCGCCCTCCTATCACAAAGGTTACAATCCAGAGCATCGACCATTTCCCTCGCGGTGTTCCCGTAAAAGGGTTTCTTTACAAGTGCTGTATACTATGTATGTATCTGCTAGTGTAGCCGACCAGCCATATTCCTGGCTGGAAGTATGTAGTCAGTCAGCATGTACGCTGGAATTTGCCCTGGCATTTGACCGCATCAGGGTTGTCTGGCAGCAGTATTCCATGCCCCAAATATAAGGATTATTAAGCAGCGACACCAGAAACGTCGGCTCGCGGAATTTAGAAGGATCACGGTTCTCGCAGGACGGGATTGTATGTGCCCGCGAGCGAGGCTATATATTTGTGCATTTATACGCTAGCAAAAAATAACCGCCCAGTATAATATTTATGAAAAGCCATAATGCTTCAAGAGGATAATACAGGAGCGGCGGTTTGATATAGGGTTTCTCAAAGCTTGAAAGTCGCAAGTGTTGATCGTAAGCTTGAACTGGAAAGAGCTTAGCTTCGCTAAGGCTAGTTAGTACTTTAGCATGGAAATTTAAACACCTGATGAGTGCTGCAGATGATCAAAGCTCAAAATGTTGTCGCTCATTTAGTGAATCCTTGATCTGCTTCTCACCTTTCGACGTTGGAGCTGTAAAGGTAGCAAATGGTATATAGTATATATATTCTCCCGAGGTCATGGAATAGAAAAGCCCAAGCAATACGAACAAAACTTGACGAGGGAGAGTCAAGCCACACATGACGAAGAAAAAGAGCGCAGAGCAAGCTTGGTTTCCGCGAACTTTTCTGCCGCGCAATTGTATAATTTTTTAATCAGCATGCAATCGGAATGTTTTATGATAAGGGGTATTATATGAACATGTACTGACAATCACTAGGCCCAGAACCGAGATGAGAGACGGTTCACAACGCAGAGAGAATCGACAACTAACATAAGATTTGATGGCAGAGGGAAAGAAGCTGCGGATAGTAACCCGCTATATGCCGCGATTTATTTCACAAATGAGTTCTTTACACGATAGCTTAAATGCCAAAGACTAGTTGCACTCAATAGACTCACGGTTTACTTTGTAAACTTCTCGTCTCCTTCCCAGCTTTGGGAATGTGGAAGAAGACATGTTTAACGATTTAAGCTGGTATTTAAAAATAATCGTGATATTCAATCACACAATTCTCTTTCCGTCTTTCCGTCTCTGGAAGGTGGTATGGGAATCGTGATGGGTTAATAGGTTGTCCAGTGAGTATCCCAGACGTCGAAGAGAATATTGGATAGCCATGGATGGTAGCTTTTATCCCCAGGCCAAACAAGCAAGCGTCTGGACCTTGAAGACCTTGAAAGCTGCAAGGTTAGCTAATCAGAGTGCATGAAGGGAGTCGCATTGCAAGATATATAATTCGGTGGCAATCAAGATCTCTGCCCAAAACCTATTTTCCGTACCGATTTCGAGACAAGAAATGGCCGCGCGACGGAATTCAAAACGCGCATTATATGACTTGACTCTCAGTTTCTCATGCTCCGAATCGGGAGCAATTATTAGCGTCTTGATTTACCTTTCAGAGCGAGGCCAATGATATTATTTCACCTCCTTCCGCAACCTTAGATTCTTTCTATATTACAAGTATAGGGGTACGTAGGTACGCCACTAGGGCCTAGCTGGCCAGGCGATCGACAACCCCTTATAACCAACCGACTCGTATATCTATCCATCTCTCAATTCCCAGTTGAATAAAAAAAAAATTGCAAGAAATCTTAACCCAAATCGATAGCAGAAATGAATCCGATAACACAACGAACAAACAGCCACCTCCTTCCTCCTATCGTAATCTACTCACCTCGCAAATCTCCACGCTCACATACTGAAACTGAAACAGCTAAAATGAGAGCCGTAAAGTTAAGCGAACCATACTAAGCCGTAAATTCAATAGCAAAGCGAAGAGATGGGGGGAAGGGAAGGGAGGGGTAAAAGTGCGAACCTTTGAAGTTTGAAGATCAGAGATCCCGATTGACGGCTCGGAGGGAAAAATCTGGGACGATTTCTTTCGCTATACGGGATGGTTGGCTGGGGTTGGAAGGTATGAAGATGGAGGGGGGGTTGGGTTTACATAGATGTGGGTATGTGTGGGTGGTGGGTGTGTGTATTGGTGTGTGTGTATATATGATTTTGATGGGGATAGTGAATTAGAATTTGGGAGGCTTGATGGATGTTTTTTGTTTGAAATAGGTTGAATATTATGGGATTGGATTGAATTGTTTGTTTGCGCGGGTTGGGTCGGGTTGGAGTGGATTGGGTTGGATTGAATTGGATGGCGGTCAGCTTTCGAGGGGTTTGGAATAGGTATATAATTTTACGTCGAAAAAGATAAAAGAAAAGCTAGACCGGTCCCAAAGATGGAATCCCCAACAAGCCAGGTCAGGTCCCAATCAATCACTTCACTCGCAAATTTCACGAAAAAAAAAAAACAAAAAAAAACAGGCGTTTTAAATACCTTATTTAACTATCCACTATTGGACCCACACCCACCTAGGCTACAGAACAGTAAACCCCTCCGAAACCACAAGATCCCGACTGCTAAAGCCAACACTGGCCCTGAACGCCCCCGACGGAATGATCCAGTCCTGGCGGCCCACATCCCAATAGCTGAGATCCCTTCGCATCAGCGTAAAACCAACCCGCGCGCTCGCACCCGCAGCCAGGAAGACTTTCTCGAACCCGCGGAGCTGCTTTGGCGGCGTGCCGGGCGGAGCGGTCGCCGGGAAAGAGAGATACAGCTGCGGTACCTCGGCGCCGGCCACTGTGCCCGTGTTCGTCAGCGTGACGGCGACGGTGTAGAGAGCGTCCCACAGCGCCGGGTTACCGCCGGGTGAGGCGGCAGCAGCAGCGGGCGGCGCAGCGGCAGCGATGGCGCTACTATCCGCGAGCTTGGAGATGGCAGTGTCGGCGAGGGAGAAGTTGGTGTACGAGAGGCCGAAGCCAAATTCGTAGCGCACCGACATGTTGCGGGCGTCAAAGTGGCGGTAGTCGATCTCGAGCTTCTCGTCGAACCAGGCCTGCCAGGCGTCGGGGCTGGTGTCGTTAACGGCGGTGGTGGGGAGGCCGTTGTAGTCGTCGTTCGAGAGGGCGATGGTGTAGGGCAGCTTGCCGGAGGGGTTGACGTCGCCGTAGAGGATGTCGACGATGGAGTTGCCGGACTCCTGGCCCGGGTAGTGGGCTGCGAGGATGGCGGTTACGTTGGGGTGGCTGGCGAACGGGAGGTCGTTGATGCCGGAGGAATGCGTGACCACGACGACGTTGGAGCAAAAAGAGGCAACGGATTCGACGACTTGGTTTCCTTGCCAGTCGAGTTCGAGCGATTGCCTATCGGCAGCTTCCTCGGCCCAGGTCTTGAGGAAGACAAGGCAGACGTCTGGCTGTTCAGGGATGGAGAGCGTGGCGATGTCTTTGCTTGCGATGAGGGTGTTGTTGAGCCATTGCTGGATGAGGGAGCCATCAGCTTTGGCACGCGCTTTAATGGCTTCGAGGGGTGTGATTAAGTATGTGTAGCGCCCGGTGCCGGAACCACCGCCAGCGACAAGTGTGCCGAATTCAAAATTTTCTTGATTGTAGAAGCCTTGTGAATCTTCGCCTGCGTCGTTTCCGAACACTGCGATAGATTTGGGCTTTTGAAGGGGGAGAGTGTTGTTGACGTTCTTGAGCAGGACAGTGGATGAAGCGCCATGCTTGCGAATGAGATCGCCGTGGTCGGCGCGTACATCACGGCTGCGGGTGCCGTTTAGAACCCACTCAGTAAACCAGGTGTCTTTCGGAGAGAAGGTGTTCAGGTCTGCGGAAGAGGGGTCGATAGACGGGTAGTCCCTGTCCTGGCCGAGGAAGAAGTAAGGGGTCATGATACGAGTGATCATGTCGTCTACTCTCGATTGAGCGAGAGTGCCGTTGTTGACTGCCAGGGTGACGTTCCCGCCAAAGTCGGATGCTTCGCCGAAGGTGCTACCATACGAGCCCAGTCCACCAGGCATGTTCATGTCCAAGCCAGCTTCAATCGAAGCAACGCCGGAGTGGGTTGCACCCCAATCGGACATAACATAACCTTGGAAGCCAAGTTCCCCTTTAAGATATCCATTGAGAGACTTGGAATTCTCGCAAGAATATGATCCGTTGAGACGTTGATAAGAGCACATTATACTTGCAACGCCAGCTTTGATGGCATTTGCGAATGGCCACATGTACAACTCATGCATGGTTCGGTCGTCAATGTTGGCGGAGATAGATTCCTGGAAAATAGAGCCGTTGACGTAGGATGGATTTCGCTGCGTTTCTTGCTCGTTGCCGATCCAGTGCTTTGCACAGGCCTGGAGACCGTTGCTTTGGAGGCCGATAATCGTCTCTTCCATGGCAACGCCGGTGAGGTATGGATCTGGGGAGAAACCTTCCCAATTGCGACCAGCATAAGCCGATCTACCGAGAGGGCCTGCGACGGGACTGGGAGAAGTCAGAAAGGCATGCACGGAGTGGTGAGAAGCATCACCTCAGCGCAACTGTAGCTCCTTTGCCCCTAAACTCAGCACCCATAGCGACCCCTCGCTCATACATTAATTCGCGATCGAAAGACGCAGCAGTGGTAACTCCAGCTGGGAAAACACTCGCGTAATCCACGGTACGGATGGCCAGAGGACCATCTTGAAGACACATGCCCGAGAAGCCTAGACGGGGAATGGCAAGGATGTTACCTACACACGGCCCAGGACGTCCTGTCACCATGTTCGCCTTCTCCTCTGGGGTCAGTTGGGCAACGAAGTTTTTTGCTTTGACCAAGGCCTCTTCCCAACCACCGAGGCCAGTGGTATTCGCTACAGTGTGTCAGTAGGAATTCCCAAAAGAATTCCAGAACCACGTACGGGAAGGGTAGACTGGTGGAGAGTGGCCATATCGTCCAAGGATAGTGGTGTTCAGAGGTTGGACCACCGCAAGAGCTGGTGCGAGGATAGCAGCCGCTGTAATGAGAAAGGAGTAAAGCATTTCGGAAGGCAAAATCGGTTCGATGTTCAGCTATTGTTGACTGATGATCCGAAGAGCATGATCGATCTTACGATATCCTGAGCTCTTTATATATTGTCCATTTCAGTGGGGAAATTTCTCAACGCCCATGACACAGGCAGTCCCCCCGAAGTCGCTATGGACGATCAATAATCGCTTCTCACAAACCCTGATTGATGCATACATAGACCAAGCCGGGAGGTCAACGGTGGCTTATTGTTCTAGTCCTAAGCCGTCTCCTATTTTCCGTCAACAGAGAGATTTGCCGATTCTGCTCTGCGATGGGATCTGTTTGCCATTGGGCTTGAACTACACGTGACGAGAGGCGTAGGAAAGGGAGAAAAGGCCCGATCTCCTCAATGTTTGATACCCCGCATCCCCCGCTTCCGGATCGAAGCTCCGCTGGAGTCAGCTGCAATAGAAAGGAAATTTTCCCCTTGGCCTGCAACATTGAGAGTCTAGAAGAGGAGGAGGAGGAGGAAGGGGAATATGAAGAAATGTAAAGTGCATGACGCAAGAGAAGGGCTGTTGGTCGACTGAGAAGCCACACCTCGGACCATTTCGAAGCGAAGAAAATGATGGGTTCATCTTTTGGGCCGATCCTGGTCATGGGTGGGAATCCGATCTCGAGATATGAAGATATACTGCGCATGTAAAAGGGGAAGAAAGACCAGAAAATTGCAAGAGATTAAAACGGCAACCGTCTGGATACAAAGTACAAAATCTTCCTCGCTGGTAAATTTAGCGCACGCATATTCCTTGATATTAATGCAATGCAATTAGGATATAGATCAAAAGTGATATCGCCTAAGAATAACACTTCTCGCGTAATATAACACAACAAACGACAACAACAGAGCGAGCCACTGTGCTTCATCGTCCTTGCTGCCTTGCCTCGGGTCAAATTTCAACTTCAAGCTCATCATATCCATATGTCTTGGCAGGTGGGTATATATCACAGCTTATTAACAATAGATCCGCTAAAGTCATGGGACGGCGGCAATACATATCTCACATACAGATCTCAATGTACTATTCATCTGTATGGCTAGATATACGAGCCAAGCCGCTCGCTTTGGTCGCGTGCCCGACCATTCCTAGAAACATCATCGGGGGGGAATCCCGTCCCGCGCTGGCGGCTGAAGGTTGAACGACCGAGTCCCGCATAAGGGCCGGGGTAAGCACGGGAAGCGCGGGGTATCGCGGGGTGCAGATGGAATGGGGATGGTGAGATGAAATAGAATAATAACATGGGGAAGCAAGTGGATCTCCGAGAATGGTGGACCGGGCTGGGCTGGAGATGTCGATGTTGGATGTTGATGTTGCCTTTGGGGGACTCGTAAGCGAAAGGTAATGATTCGAGTCTCACGTGGATTATGATTTGGAATTCGGGTCCTATGGTCTTTTCTCTTGAATTTTAGCACCGCTTCGACTGACAAAAAGCTTACCGAGTTCCAAAAGACGTGTGGTACAGATCCTGGAGTTCCACGAGCACGATTACCGCTCGAGAATAGTGTCACGTGTTGATGTCCCAGCCTTTCCTCTTGTCGCGTTTGCCAGCCAGCCGAGACTTCGACTCCTTTCTTCCTCAACAACCTGAAATAAAGCACAGCACAGCACAGCACAGCACAAAACAGCATAACTCGAATGGATCCCCAGAATTACACACAAGACTTTTCAGTATGTAGAATTCATAAATTGATTCATGAACCTTCGATAATCGGCGCCCCATGACTCAAAACCCTGTGGCCTACATATCCCACTTCCCTCACTTCAGAGGCTCAGCTAGCCGACTTGAGAGATTTAGGCTCCGCTGGAAGAACAATGAGTATTTCTATCTTCCAGCGTGGAGCACTTTTACTCATTCTTGAATCACAGCTACCAGTAGCCACCGCCCTTGTACTCAACACCATCGACGTTCATATCTTCTCCACTCAATTCACTCTCTTTGGATTACCGCCTCTGCGTTGCAGCTGCACTCTTCACGGTACTTCGGCCCCCAAACGCCGAAAAGTTTCGGAGAGGCTCCCTGCCTTGCAGTGATCCCGAATCTGCCCTGTTCCTTTTTTTCTTCGCGCTTCGAGATTCCGAAGCCATAGCGGGAGATGGCTCTGCGTCGACGACCTGATGAGTGGTTAAGTACTTACACAATTCACCGAAGCTCTGTCCTGGCACCACCGCCAGCTCCAGAACCTCGACAGACGGCTTGATTGGGATACGTTGGCTCTTTTGTAGCTGCCCGAACATCAACTTCAGCGCATCTCGGATAATAGTTGGAGTCTGCCATCGTCCTAAGACTGCTCCAAAAAACCCGTAGGAGTTCTTATGTTGGTACTGGCAGTTTTCGCCACGGCTGCAGTTGTCGTTGCCCTCGAGGACACCCACATAACATTGTTGCTTAACTCCTTGTCGATCGTGCGCAACAACACACTTGCAGTTAGCGTCAAAGATTGCCTCATTGACAATGGAATATGTGGCAGCGACCTTATCAGCGCTAGCAGATTTTTCTCTTCGGAACTCAATCGTCAGGTATTGGGTGTCTTCCGGTTTCCAGCCATCCGGCTTCCGAGGTCCCTTGTCGTCAAGGCCGTGGAACCAAGTCAAGAAGTACATTCTGTCTGCAGCTGCCCGATCAATTAAGATGCTCACCGTCCCTACTTCCTGGTCTTCCGAGATCCCAAATGAATACTGATCCACAGCTGCGGGTGGTCCACGATCGGCTTGCAGGACTGTAAGGCCTGCTGCTGATACCTGTGCGGCAAGCACGAGTCCCTTGATTGGATCGAGCGCGAGTTCTCTGGTCAGCATCTCCTTTTCGGTGCAGACGACTTCCGTGTCTGCCGATCCAAGCTTCCAGGCCGACAAGAAAAGTCCGGATGGGAAAGTGCTCGGCTCCCGAGTCGGGTGCTCGTCCATGGCCTTTACTGCGTTTACTGCGTCTCTCGCGGCTGCTGGCGCCGACCGTAGTGCTTCGTTCGTAGGGTCTTTGAAAGCTTCGACTTTTCTGTCAGTTCTGTAGGTTGGTAACAAAATTTATAATTCGGATGTTCTGGGAGTTCTGGGAGTTCTGATATGCATTGTGATTTCCAAGGTGCAGATCCCTTATTATATAGATGTCCTGTAGCTACTAAAGAGTCCCATATCTATCTGCGCTCAAGGCCAGTATAGTCCATTCTTTGATTCAGGCTCATCGTGGCACTTTCTAGAATTTCAAGCTGGCTATTTCATATCAAGTTTCAACGCTATAGCTTAGAGAAGTTTTTGAAACAGAAAATTTCTTTGAAAGCGTTACGATAACAATAAGTGTATTCAGACTCGGTTCTGCAGCATTCTTTTGCTATCTATGTCTTTCCGACACTAATGCCACAGGGTCCAAATAAGGCCGCATGTTTCAGCTCTTTCAGGTAACAAAGGTTAGACCTCGGGCTTTTCACACAATCTTATTCTTTCTTCTACAGATACCAACCCGCTATTTACTATCCCAGTCATGACGAGTAGCTCCAGGTGCATCGCCAGTTGTGGACTGCAAGGCGTTTTGGGTTTCAGGACGGGTGAAGCAAAGCTGAAAGCCTGGCTAGGAGCTCTCTACATAAGCCCCCCGATCAGACGAGGAACTAACTACATTAACTATATTGACTATACGTACCCGCTCACTCATCCGTCGGGTACGATACTAGCCGAGAAGCCTTCAGATTCGTCTCCCGCGTCTCTTCTACTTTATCTTATCCGGCTTCGCATCCGCCAGCTCCGCCGCCGGCGCGAGAGGGGAAGAGAGAGGGGAAGAGAAATTCGATGACTAGAGACGCTAAAGACTTGCCAGTATGAAGATTCTCTCAAGATTTGTTGTTTCCTCCGAGATTTGTCTTGAATCCTAAAATCTTACATTCTGTAATCGAATTTTGCGCCTTTCCAAGACTGAGTTGGTGTTTTACATCCACGAGGATCGAGACCCTGCCGTGACTACTATACTACTACACCTACAGCTTTATAATTATTTTATTCTAAGGCAGGGGCGACCTTGATATACGGATACGACTGAAGGCTTTCCCCTCCTATCGAAAAGTAATATAAAATTGAAATCAAAAGTACGTTTCGCTACTCATACAAAACGTTGCAATCTTTTTCCGTAGTACAAACATATCGACGCATAAGGACAGACAGGTATGCTGGCGGCACGTACACCAATCGAGGACAGCACTAACCCAGACACGGGTGTGCACTTTGGAACAGGGCAATCTTGTTATTTTCGCATACTTGATTTTGCTGCTGCTACAGTGCAACTTCGGAGATTCCTCAGAACGTCTGTTTACTTGCAGTAGAGTACAGCGGTCCCGAACGTTGCGGGCCGAGGCTTGGACAAACCACCCGGGATGTCATGTGACCAGGGCACATGAACCAACATCTTCAAACTTATGATAAGAAACCTTGTTCAGCCAAGAAAGATGGTTGATATACGGATGTCCATATGCCGGAACCTTTCGACACAAAGCAAATGGCGGGCCGCCGGGCCGAGAACATGGCGGCTCTTGGGAGTAATAGCGAATTGGTGCCAAGCCTTTTCGTCTCTTGGACTCCTGAGAAGGATTCAACCCAATTGAATTGGCGGCAGCTTGAGAAGGCTTGAAAAAGCTTGAAAAGACGTTTTCGGATCTTCTCTCGCCGGCTCTTTCAGCACCCGGAAGAAGTGCTGACGATCCCATTGCAAACGTCGAGAATGATCGAGATTTTCCCCGATTTTCCTTCAAGAGCAATATACAAGTCCAAAGAATATAGGTCAGGACAGGACTAGGAACAGGACCAGGTCTCCGGGCAGAAATACACACGATTTCCCTCCTGCCCATATCTCACTTCTCACTTCGCAATCACTGGGTCAGGCCATCGTCGTCGTACCAAGCTAGCGGGATAGCGCCACATCCGAATAGGAAAGTCGCTTCCCAGCCACTTGACCTCGAAGTTCGACATCAAAACACGAAAGAAAGAAAAATTATTTATCTTCATATTCTCCAATCGCTTCCATCACTTAATCACCTACACCCTCACCTCTGGCATCTATTCTGCTGATCATCGCGCCACCACCATGCCCAAGCTCGTCGTCGTCGTAGGCGCAACTGGCAACCAAGGGGGCTCCGTCGCCCGCCGCTTCGTCCAAGACCCCACGTACAGAGTGCGAGGCCTGACGCGCAACCCGTCGTCGACTGCTGCCCTTGAGCTCGCGAAGCTGGGCATTGAGGTCGTGCAGGCCGACTTGGAGGATGTCGAGTCGGTGAAGAGGGCGTTTCAGGGCGCGAACATGATCTTCTCGGTTACGAACTACTGGGAGCCGTTTTTTCGTCCGGACGCCAGGGCCGCGGCTGAGAGACAGGGGCTGAGTTGTAAGATGTATGCGTATGAGGTGGAGGTGCGGCAGGGGAGGAATATTGCTGATGCTGCGGCGTCGCCTGGTAAGTACTTTCTCTTTCTGTCTGTCTGTCTTTGTCGCTCTCTCATATGAATACCTGCTTTGAACGAGAACCGAGATATTAAGTTGTTAGCAACGGCCCATCGAAAATTTGAGACTCTTGAGGCTTGTTCGTCTAGGTGAGAGTAGCAGAAGCTAACATCGTATTAGAAATCGTCAAAGGACTGGACGAAATGGGATTCATTGCCAGCACGCTCAGCTACGCCAAGAAGTGCAGCGGCGGCAAGTACCAGAACCTGTACCATTTTGACGCTAAGGCAGAGGTGTTTCCGTTCTACGTCGAGGGGAAATACCCGGAGCTGAGCAAGAAGATGAGCTGTGTGCAGACGGGCTATTTCATGACGAGCTACCGCTTGGCGCCTGGAGCGTATTTCTCAAAGGTCAGTCTGGAATCGTCTCATCTTTGGTCTCTGCTGGGAGTTTCCGTCTTTTTTTTTTTTTGGACTTCGGATTTGACAAATGCTTGCATTTCATCCTCGCTAAGTAAGTGACTACGATGAAGCTTCTGCTCGCGGCGTTTTCGTCTGACAATATTCTATTTATAAGTAAATGTGCAATCTGATATCAGGCTATCGAATTGAAACTCCTCCATCTCATCTTACAGTATCACATCACATCACATCACACCTTTTCTACCGTCCCTATTCCTTTCTTGTCGATCCGTCTCTTTCACCCCCCCACCTCGCCCATCTATCTAACAATCCTACCCCCCAACAGCTCCCAAACAACACCTTTCAAATGTCCTTCCCAACCTCCCCCTCCTCCCCCGTCCCCCACATCGCCATCAACAACGACATGGGCCCATTCGTCTACGCCGCATCGCAACTCGGCCCGGGCAAGCACTTCAGTAAGGACGATTCCTTTCTCTCCCCCCTCTCCCCATAATCCCTTCAGCTCCCAACAACCCCCTATCAAGACTCCCACACTAACCACCTCCCCCTCCCCCCAGTGGCCGAAGGTACAACCTGCACCTGGCCCGCCTTCCTCTCGACCTGGAGCCGCGTGACCGGCCGCGCAGCGCACTACCAGCAAGTCAGCATCGAGCAATTCGCGGCTATGAGCGCCGACCGCGCCTTTGGGGAGGAGGCGGGCTTGATGTTTGAGTATTCGAGGTATGGCTGGTTCGCTCTTTCCTGTCCTCTCTCTTCTCTGTCCTCTCTTCTTGAAATCTCATCCCCTTCCTCTTCATCCCCGTTCTTTTCTACCATCCGATTCGACCCGCATCCCTCACTCTCCTCTCCCTTTCCTTCCCTCCCCCTCCCCTCTCTAATACCAAATCCAAACACAAACCCACCAACCCCCAACCAACCACTCACCCACCCACCCACAGCACACCCGGCTACGACGGCGGCGACAAGACGCTGCTAAAAGCGGCGGATATTCGCGCGGTAGGTTTACTTTCCGTCTCCCTCTCTCCCTTCCTCCTTCCCTCTTCTACCTTCCTCATCCAGCTCCCTACCTACTTACCTAATATACGCGACTCACACAACCCTCCGTCCCTATCTAGGCAGGCATCGCGTGCCCGATGACTAGTCTCGAGGAATTCATGCAGGCGCAGGATTGGTCGGGGGTGTTATCGTTGGACCAGCAGTGAGGTCGACGTGGGGAGTGGGATTTTGAGGAGGGAGGAAGGAAATGTGTACGTACGGGTTGGATATAGAGAGATTCAGAGAGATTCAGAGAGATTC